TGATAACTTGATGTTGCTATTAACAAGCCATTCAAGGTTAACCTTAGCAAAGAATGGAACTTGTGGTGCTAAATGTAGTGTTTGGGTAAAACGTTGGAAGGGTATATCTGATGCAATTCTTTTGTAAATTGCAGGTTTATTTTATGATTATAATAAAGACAGTAATTTCAGATATTGATGATGAAAGTTCGATATGTTGAAGTTCGTGATGATGATGAATTTCGTGATGATGTATTTCGCGTTGATGATGATACCCGCAATGAGAATTATAGTAATAATTGTAAATAGTAATATCAAATATTTTATAAATTCTTTTAGCTTTATTTCAATAAATTTATTATACAATCAATACATTTTGCAAGATATTACGAAGGGTGCTTATTTTGGGTAATATTGAAATAAAGTGGTGATTATTTTATGGTGGTGATAATTTCGGGACTATACGGTATATATTTTTTTTATATAATATAATAATAAAAGTTAGATTAATCCACATAACCACCAACACAATAAACATTTTTATTAGTTACAACATTACGAATAAAATTCTATACTTTGGTAAAAAGTAAAATAATCTCGCCTTGTAATAATTTTAATAAAAAATATTCAAGGTCGTTTAAGGTAAATTTCTTACAAATAAAAATAAAGTAATTATTTTATTACTGAATCGGATAGAAATTCATTTTTATAAAATTAAATCCAAAACTATTTTACATCATGATTTAAAAAGTTACAATTGTTATCAATTCATAAACTACTTTGTAGATCTAATATTTGCGCTTTCTTCATATTTTATGAATTCTTTTTGTTCTTGAACCGAATAAGGATCTAAAACATATACAATAAATAAATAAAATTAATCATATTTAAGAATGTGCATATAACTTTAATATATACCTTTAAACCCTGTTCATTCCCAGAATAATTCATGATAAATGAAATCCTTTTTTTCTAAAAGGATCGGGCTTTAATTTGTCTGTAATATATTAAGTAATTAAATAAATACAAATACAAATATACACATCAAAATATCAAGTCCAAATTACCATTAACAAGCCATCATTTCCTTCATCAGAATTTTCTTCATTTTGACTGTAATATGATTACCTATATCTTTACAGCACTAATATCGAGGGAAATAATTTTATTAATTTTGTAAAATTATAAGAAATAGTAAATTCATGGAATATCATACCAGGTTACAAAGATAAAAGGATCTATGATCACCGATTCTTAATTTAAGTCTAAAAATTATATAAAAAATTTTTAATAATCGTGTGAAGCGATGTAATTATAGTACATATTTATGTATATCATACCCTGCGTATTCAGGCTCATTATCTTCTCCAATTAACTCAATTTGTGCAATTTGTGACATATTTCCATGCCTTATATCATGAAATTGAATGAGCCCATAAGGCAATAT